GACTATAACTAACTATAACTAACTACTTGAACCAACTATAACTAATTTCTTGAAAGATGAATAGTGCCAACTAACTAACTCCAACTAACTAACTAACTAATTGATAAGCTAGTTTTATTACAAGAAATTAGATATTCTTTTTTAAAAATATAAATAAATAATAAAAGACAAACAAATTAAATAGAAAAAGTGTCATTAATTCCTGACCAATCGTGTTCTTGTAGTAATGTAGACGTTAGTTGAATGGATTTTGTCAATATGTAAATTCACATAAATCTATATAATAATTTATAATGTCAATTGACAATTGACATAGTACTCTGGCGTCATTTGGAAAGAAAAACTGTATTACTATTCTAAGCATGCTTCGATACATCGTTTAGCTACAAAATTTATCTATCGTTAATTATATATATATAATCTTAAAAAGTACTATAGATAGGTGGGATGGGATCAGGAGCAGGGGTGGAGCGTGGAGGGTATTAGGGGTTCGATCATACAGAAGATACAATGAGTTTAAAATGTCACTTGTAAAGTTTATTTTATTTTTCTTTTTCTTAAAGAAATTTGATTTCTTGATTACAAAAAAATATATTCTATAAAATTTTCATCAACTAACCATGATTTATTTAGGGAAAAAAGTTATATATACCTTCGAACTCTTATAAATGATATGCAGATATCTTCGTCATACTTTTGGGACATTTAGTGCCCCTGCCGTAAAAAACTAGAGCATATATACCCTTTATATTAACGGATATATGCGTGTCGTAATCTTATTCACTAATCGAACATTTATTAAATATCAGATCAACGGATAAGATTGCACCATGTATCCCAATTTAGGTTTCTCTTAGAGTGAAAGACATATATGCTCTAACACGATAACACATATATCCCAAAAATATGACGGAGGATATATCTATATCATTTTTTCATTTTTTTTAAAAAAAATAGAAAACATGTTTCTTCCCTACCAAACAAAGCTGAAAAGCACGCTTGCTCTTGTCTGACTTCACCATTTTAGTGTTTTTGACTTTTGACTTCTTACTAATTTATATAATATACTTTGTATAAAATATATATTATCTAAAGCATTTTTTTTGGGTATATATTTTGTAAATTAGTAAGGCAAAGTGTTTGAGCCGTAAATTTCCTTCTTTTTTTTAAAAAAAAAAATCATTCTTGAATTAAAACTTCTAGATTAATGTATTTGACCTTTGAAATTAAAAAATAATAATTCATTACTAATCATAAAAGCAAGTAGTGAGGTAAAACAAATCTAACTCTTAACCTACAAGCAATATTAAGTTGGCTTCTACTAAATTGCAAGAGCCATGCCTTTCTAAGTTAATGAAAACATGCACACACAAATGACTTTTTCGTTGTTAGTTATATTTGTTAATTTAATACTCGCATTCAATTTATTTGTTTTACTTTTTTTTAAGTCTGTTTAAAAAAGAATGCGATCTTCTGAATTTGACGACTCTTTAATTTTAATATCTCACATGATATGTTTAAAGGACACAATCACACGATTAAAAAATATTTATATTATACGCATCTTTACTTTAATATTATAAGATTCGTTTTTTTTAACTTTCTTAAACTTCACGTTAAGTTAACAAATAAGCCGAGGAAGTAGTTGATAAAGAAGGCTTCAATAAAATGTCAACATCTTGTCTTCTTTACCAAATATAACCTAAGCTCACTCGTCATCATATTTCTATCATTTATTTGCTTCAATGCCCTTTTCTTCCCTCCTCATATTGATTTTTTTTCAAATTTTCGATCACAAATACTTCAAAAAAAAAAATCACCTCGTACTAGCACCGCTCTTAGTCAGCTAACCAAGAATCACAAAATTTTTCCCTTTCATCCGTCCCTTTTGAGATTGGTTTTTCATCCGCTTTAAACGTACGAAAAAATGAAAAATATCGAATCAATTGATAATCTTCAATCCATAATGTCAATGTATAGACCTTTGAAAAAGCTCAAAATTAGCTCATCATCACAACATAATAGCCTTCGATCAAGTGGAGACGGGGTGGAGCCTGTAGCTCAGAGGATTAGAGCACGTGGCTACGAACCACAGTTTCGTTTTCCTTTTGCTCTAGATGATCCTCCATTAAGCAGTTGTCACATTAATTGGCAATCACTTACTCAAAATCAAACTATGATTTCTTTTGCACCTCAAAGTTGGTTTAATCAGTGTCGAATCATTGATAATGGAACGAGGACGACTTCAATGATGAATGTTTATGGCACTGTCTCCTCCCCTGCATCTAAACGATACAGGGGAGTTAGACAACGCCATTGGGGAAAATGGGTAGCAGAGATTCGCCTTCCTCGTAAAAGAACTAGACTTTGGTTAGGCACGTTTGAAAGTGCTGAAGAAGCTGCTTTTGCTTATGACGTCGAGGCCTTTAGACTCAGAGGAACAGATGCACGTCTTAATTTCCCACATCTGTTCCTCGGAGACCTGGCTCCGTTTGATAATAACATAAACGTGACTAATTCAGCATCGCCAAGTACTACTTCATTCGCGAAAAATCCTTTTCAAATCCAACACAATAAACGGTTCATCAGGCAATGTCGGAACAAAAAAATAGTACCTTCAGCTGTGGAACAGAGTACCTCTGTTTTTGACAAAGAAATAATGATGCAGGATAAGGCCGCATACAATAAACCCTTGTGGTATGACCCTTCCCAGGACTCTGTGCATAACGAGAGTTTAGTGCACGAGACTTCTCAAACAATGATGTTTGATGGGAGCGATTTTTATGAACCGACACCAAAATATACTAATAATATACAACAAGAAAATAGTGATATGTGGAAGAATGTACTTCAACCTACTCCATTTGGGAATTACAGTATTTGTACTGATGATAATTTGCAGCAACAAAAGCAGCAGTGTGATTTCACTATTACTGATCCTGGCTTCGGGGACAATGTTTTCGACTTTTCCTCCAAACTCCTCGGGTAGGTGGTTATTTCTAGGGATCATGGGCGGAGCTACGTGGTTTCTGGTGGTCAGCTGAACACTCTTCGTTGGAAAATTATACTGTATAGGTCAAATCTAACTTTATATTGATTTATAAGAGCATTTTGGGACGATCTTTTCAATTTTTCTTCCATAGCCGTGGAATAGGTGGTTACTTCCAGAGGCGGATTCAGGGCGAGTTCTAAGTTGAAGTGAACCTATTGTTTTCAACTTATAACTCTATATACATAATACTTTGAATCGAATTTAGAATTTAAGGATATAGAATCTCTATTTTTTTTTGTTATTTTGACTTCTACACATGTTATATGACAAAAAAATTGAGTTTGATTGAACTCATAGTTAAACTATTGCACCCGTCTCCATGTATAATAAGATTATACTTAATTTAAATTCGCATATTCTAAATTTAAATTCGACTTCATCCAAAACGATACTTGGGACATAGAGTCCTCATCAAAAATACGATAGTTGCCGCTCTCATATGGACTATCAAAGATCCCAAACATAACACTACAACACAAGTAAAAAATTCACTAATTCACGCCAGAAAATAAATAAAAAATCTACTTATTCATATGAACTAATGTGCTCAGATTCTTATCAAGTAGTATATAACCTGAGTTTTTGTAAATTGTAGGCCATTGCAATTTTATTTTATTTCAATTTTATAATTTTATACTAGGTTCTTAATTTTTAGATATAAGAAATTTAAAATGTCATTTTTTTTAGGGAAAATTGTATTAAAATAGCAAACTAATAACCTAAATTAAATGAAATAGCTAGGGTTTGATTTAATTGTGCTCCATAGCAAACGTTGGCAAAAATTTGCCAGGCGTCTCTCTCCCAGAAGTCTCGCTCGCCACTCTCCCATTCTCGCCTCTCTCGCTTTATACACAGAAGTGTATAATTTCTGTTTCTGTTTTGTATAAAGCGAGAGAAAATTGTATATACACATGCAAAAATGTATATCTTCGTGTTATACACTTAATTATATAATTTACAAACATTTTACTTCAAATATTGCAGAGAAAAAGGCCAAAGAATTATACAATTGCAGTGAAATACAATTTTTTCTAGCTTTATACAACAGAAGTGTATATATTGTGTTTCTGTTTTTGTATAAAGCGAAAAAAACATATATCTTCTTGCTATACACTTATAATTATGCAATATACATACATTTTAATTCGATTCAACTGTATGCAAAACTAATTATACAATTGCAGCGAAATAGGCCAGCGAATTATACAATTTAGGCCAGCGAATTATACACTTTTATATGTATAGCGAATTATACAGTTTTTATGTTTGCTATGGAGCGCAATTATGCAAAGTTTGCTATATTATACAAATATGATTTTTTTGTTTGCTATATGTGAAAGTTGCCCTTTTTTTTATATTCATTTTATAAGTGGTCAAAAGATCTTAATTCGAATATTTTTGTTATTATTTTGGCTCAATTTCTTGCAATAAAATAAGATTAAACTACACACGTAACACATCCATATAGAAATTAAAATTTATGCAAGATTTCTTCATGTATTTGCATTAAATATTCTATGAGTACACGTTTCAATATTATTTCATCATCAAATCTAGTACAGAACAAGCCTTGAAAAAACTAACCAATTAATGTTTCCATATTTTTCTTCTTTTTTCCCATACAATTTTTTCAACAGAACTCTGTTTCTATCTTAATCAAATAACTGCCTTAAAAGTATAGTTTTTCCATCATATCTCAATGTCCAATTATATCCACTAGGAATTTTTTTTTTTTTCAGTTTTTGCAAGTTTTGCTATTTTTAGTAAATTTCCTTATCTTCAACACACTATAAAGGTGACATCTAACATATCACACATATCACATCTATTATTCATTATACAAAATGTCTTATACACATAGAAGAAGTTGTATTTCTGGGCTCTTTCTCTTGTTGTTAGCTCTTACTTGTGAAGCAAATTCGGGGTTTATTAGGGTTGGGTTCAAGAAATGGCGAGATTTGTGAAGTCATTATACAACAAACACTTGTTGGAAGTTGGAATGGAAGGATTTTATGGTGATTCAATTCCTAAAAGAAAATTAGTTAATCCTGGTTATCAAGTTGGAACAGATTTCATTAGTAACCATTTTATCAATGAAATTGATTTTGCTACAATCCATGCATACACTGATCAATGGTATGTAGTATTTTATATGATCTTTCAGATCTGTACGTACATTTTTATAAGTTTAAATATTTATTTATATCGATGGTTATAGATTATCTGGACAAAGTGATGAAGCACAATTGGTGTGGATGGAAAAGTGGATAAGAAGTCATTGGGAAGATGCAAGAAATATATTGAAGAAACCTTTAGTGCTTGCTGAATTTGGAAAGTCTAGTAGATCAGGTGAAGGATCAAGAGATATATTTATGAGTAGTGTGTACAGAAATGTGTATAATTTGGCAAAAGAAGGTGGAACAATGGGAGGAAGTTTAGTATGGCAACTAATGGCACATGGAATGGAGAATTATGATGATGGTTATTCTATTGTTTTGGGACTAAATCCTTCAACTACACAAATTATCTCAAACCAAGCTCATATCATGACTGCTTTGGCTCATTCTCTCAATTCATGAGTGAAGACATCATAATAATCAATTTATAATCTATCATTTTTAGTATTATTAATTTGAGATGATATTACCAAACATGTTCAAGTTGATTAAACACAAGAATGTAATTGAATAAATTGTTTTAGTAAAAAGGAAAGTTATGTTTTTTTTTTTGAGTTTAATTTTTTAGTTTGAAAGCAAAGATCAAGAACACTTATTTTAATTCAGTGGAAATTCACAATATAACACATGCAATTAATTGTTATCAAGCATATATACAAACAACAAAAATATAACTAAAAAACAGAAAAGTTCACTCTTACATTCTTCCATTAAGTCCGTCGTCTCCGAGCTCTCTTCATTGACCTTCTCATTTTCTTGGGATAAATGCCTTCAAAAAATTCGACAAACCATTCTGGCTTACGGTATTTAAACACGAGGCTCCACACAACAGTTCCAACAACTAGTCCAAAGCTGTAGCCTATGACTACTGATTCCCACGTAAATCCACTAAAAAAATATGACTCGTCTTCAGACTCCAATGGTTGAGGAACATGGGATGAATCACTCGTTCCACATTGCTTTGACAAAGGAGGACCACATAGATCAAGGTTACCGCCATACGAGTCATTTTCAAATGTGTTGAATTGTAGACCTTGAGGAATCGATCCAATAAGAAGATTCTGAGAGAGGTTTAAGACTGCTAGAAACTTCATTGTTATCAATTCCCTTGGAATCTTTCCTGTGAGCCGATTCCAGGAGAGATATAACGCTTCAAGCTTATTCAATTGCCCCAATTCCATTGGAATATGACCGATGAGATTGTTATGGGATAAATTGAGTAGCCAAAGTGAGCTGAGATCCTTTAGTGTTTTTGGAATGACACCTTCAAAATGGTTGCTCGAGAGGTCTATGGTTGTCATAATTGTGCTGATTCTTTCTAGCTCAATGTCCTGGCCTTTGATCACCAAACTCACAGAATCCTCATACGATCTGTACAATGACAGCTTTGATGGTCCCATGTACTTGATCTCTCCTGTGTCTAATTTAATCATTGCCTTGAAGTTTCCAAAAACTTTTGCAGGAAGTGAGCCACTGAATTGGTTATACGAAAGATCAAAAATTCGCAACTTGGGAAAGCAAAATGTAGTCTGACAATTACTAATTGGTCCATGGAACATATTGGACTTTAATATTTAGACATGCAGTTGTTGAAGTGTTCCGAGCCAAGCAGGAAATGTGTCATTTATAGCGTTATTCCGTATATCAACAACTTCTAAATTACTACAGTTGAGCAACGAGAAAGGGAGAGTTCCTTCAAATTGATTACCATTCAAGACAATGGTTCTCAATGAAGTGTTCTGCGCACATAATGGGGGAAGACTTCCTGTGAAATTGTTCCTTCTTAAGTCCAACACTTTTAGACTAGACATGCTTCCCAAGCAACTTGGAATCGAGTTACTGAAGTTGTTGTGTGATAAATGTAGAGATTGAAGATAGTTCATGTTACAAACTGATGAAGGTAGTGGACCCTGAAGGAAGTTAAATTTAAGATCAAGATACCCTATATTATGGAAATGAAATTTTGGTAGGTGGCCTGTTAAAGAATTATGCGAAAGATTTAGGTAGTACAAGTTGTCCCACCTTATGCCGCTAAACCAGTTTGGGATTTGGCCACCAATCTTATTGTTAGAAATATCCAAGGCCTGAAGTTTCTTTACATTTGTCAAGAAGTGTGGAAAATCCTTCAGTTCACAAGATGATAACATCAAAACTTTTAGGTTAGGGAAAGTGATTTGATTTCCCTCATCGACAGTGATGCTATTCGATGAAAGGTCAAGGATAGAAAGGTTTGTGAGATTCGAAAGTGATTGAGGAAAAGAACAACTGAGTTGATTATGGCTTAAAAACAGGCGTACCAATGTTGGGTTTGTTTTGAGCTCATCGGGTAGTCCACTAAATCGATTATTATTGAGCCACAACAGACCTAACAAAGGGAGGCTAAACACCGAAGATGGTATGGTCCCATTCATTAAGTTGTAGGACAAGTCTAAGCATTCAAGATGTGTCAAGCTTACAATTTTAGAAGGAAACGAACCGATGAAGCTGTTGTTAGAAAGATATAAATAACGTAACTCTTGGAGGTTAGAAAAAATATCGGGAAGTTCACCTGAAAAGGAGTTGGATGAAAGACTTAGATATGTGAGGTGCTTCAATTGAGAGATTGTGGAAGGAATATGGCCGGTGAAATGATTATAACTGAAATCCAAATACCTAATTTGTGTAAGATTGCCAATGGAATCAGGAATGGAACCAGAGAATCGACATCCTTTGAGGTTCAAGATATTCAAGGAACTGAAGGTGCCAATTGAATCAGTCAGCTCACCAGAGATTCCTGTGTTAGAAATATCCAACTCCAATAGAGTAGTGTTGCTCGGGTGGATCTTTGGTAAAACTCCTTTGAGAAGATCATTGGCACCCAATTTGAGATTTTCCAATTTTGGTACAAGGAAAAAGCTCTGTGTGAAAGTACCTCGCAGATTAGTAAATTCAAGATTCAGGTACCTTAAGGAGGAAGAAGAAATATTCACAGGTATCGGAGATGAGATGTTGATAGCATAGAGAGATAGTACCTCCAGATTTGTCAAGTTCTGAAGTATTGTTTCAAATGTTGTCTGATCAAGTTGTAATCTATACACCAATAAAGAAGAAAGATCAAGTGAAACCAAATTGGAAAGGTATGAGATTTCTGTTGGGATTTTTCCACTAAAGTAAGACCGAGAAAGGTTGAGATGCCTCAAATTCGTCAATCGGCCAATGCTATGGGGGATTGAAGAAATATTAAAGTCATTGTAAGCAAGATTTAGTGTGTGGAGATGATGGAGTTGGAAGAGGCTGCTATTGGGATGAATAGTTCCATTAAGAAGACTACAACCAAGGTCCAATCCGATAACGTGACCGGTTAACAAGTCACAAGTGATCCCGTCCCAACTGCAACAATCAGTACTCTCATTCCAAGACTTTGTTTTTGGGATATCAACATACTGCAGATTAGTCACATCCAAACATCTAGGGAAGTCAGAGATTTGAAAAGATTGTTTGAAGTCAAGCAAAGCAAAAGCTTCAGTGGGAGAGCAAAGATGATGCATCATCACAGAGGAAGAAGTAAAACTTTCACTAACTATCAACAAAATACAGACAAGTGAATTAAACAAAAACAGAATTCCCATCTTTTTTGTATTCAGCAAATAACAAATTAAAATGTTTTGTTCTTACAAATTAATCGTCATTATCCACATATATATACTAGTTTATGAATTACACTTGTGTAGTTTTTGTGAAAATAATGAAGAATAAAATGCAAGTAAATCTTTAACAGTACTATGACAAGAAACTTCGAATGAGGGTCGTATTTTAATGTTAAAATTAATTGATTAATCTTTTTAAAATAAATAAAAAGATAATAATAGGGATAAGTACAGGCAAGGGGGGCTATTCGATATAACAAGTCTCTACTACTTAACAAGCATGGAGAAAATAAGAACTAAAGAAAACTAGGTATTCTTTGATCATCACCGAGTTTATAATCCCTCAATATGATAATATTACAAATGAGGATGCTTAAGTAATGTAAGAATATACAAGCCAGTAATAAAGATGAGTTATCCAACTCAAACTTCATTACTATGTATGAACTAAAAAAGATTATTTGCCCGTTTAAAATAATCTGAAGTATTTTCCACAATCTACAACAAACAAACTAGTGTTAAAAGTCTTTACTTCTTGGTGGCTAGTACCAATTATTCCATATTTGTTTTCTCTAAATATTGTTTTCATTCGAGGTCATCGACTATCTCTACCGTGTGTATCACCTAAGTCAATGTGAATTGGTCCCAACTCCCATTATGTAAGACAAACGGTAGAAAATTTTGCTGCAGAATTTGTAACGAATTTCCAATGAAAGATATTGTTGCTTGACTAAGTCAAGTGAGAAAAATAAAAAATAACAATACTCCTGCTTTTAGTTGGAGTAGGTTATGTAACATCAAAGATAATTTTCAAACTTGTGAGTCAGATTCTATAATTTTCCACAAGCTTTTCACATTAAGGTTAATGAGAGAAACTCCATGTAGTTGTAGCAGAAATAGATGTTTAAAAAACTTCTGCCAATTTCCACAAAGACTACAGTCCAAACCCGATGACATAGAAAATAACTCAACCAGTAGTCGAAGCAAATGCAAAAAATAACAAGGTTCTTATATAGACCACAAAAAATATTCATGACATTATTCCAATGTTACTTGTTAATATTATACATGGTATATATTACTTGTCCTGTTAGTGAATTATGTGAGAGATTTATGTACGACAATGAATCCCATCTCATGATCTAATTTGTCGCCAAACGACGTGATGTCTTTAGTTATTCAATATACATCGTAGTAACTGTTGTCTTGTATGAATCCACCAGGAGTCTAAGGGACTAAGAACAAACAATACAGCAGAAACAAAAGCACACACAATATCTCTATATTACTAATTGTGGATCTGTTTCTCTATACAGGCAAATTCAAAAGCAAATATTGTTAAATAATGACAAAAGTCCCACATCGGTGATTAATGAGATGGGTGGACTCCTTATAAGGCTTAGGCAATCCTCCTCCCTTTGAGCTAGCTTTTGGGGTGTGAGTTAAGCCTAAGACCTAATTTCACATGGTATCAGCAAAATTAAAAATTGTCCACGCACCAGATGCTAAGCACTGGGCGTGAGGTAGGGTGTTAAATAATGACAAAAGTCCCACATCGGTGATTAATGAGATGGGTGGACTCCTTATAAGGCTTAGGCAATCCTCCTCCCTTTGAGCTAGCTTTTGGGGTGTGAGTTAGGCCTAAGACCTAATTTCACAAATATCGCTACCCTTTGGGTGCGCACAATGTAAAATATACGCTCCTATGCAATAGCTCACAAACTAAACCCAGAACGCATATCCCTTGCTTTCACCCGCGAGAGGTTTCGAACTTGA